CAGTGGCAGAAAGGCCTGGAATAAATACATCCAAGAGAGGGGGTCACAGGCAACACTGCGTAGCTCCATGCACGCACAGGTTCCAAAAGGGAGGAGGAGAGTGTCTTAGAAATAAACTCCTGGTAATTAGAAGGTCTCAGCTAAAGTTTGTTCAGTCATCCTTGCCTCTAGCGCCATGTTTCAGGATGCATGTGAACTAAGTGTAAGTGAAATTCCCCCTTTTTAAAATTTTATTTTATTAATTTTAATGAAAGTTTACAGAGACTTAGGGTTTCCAGTCATTCATTGTTGCACTTTTTTCCCTGCCCACTCCCTCACCCCCAACTCACTCTTCTTCTTGATAAGAAAAACTTTCATTGTTATGCAATCCCTCCCCCCCAAGTCTACTCCACTGCACAGCCTTCACTCTGGACTTCTGTAATGACAAGAAGACCCATTCATATGTCCCTTTTAAACAGTTTTGTCCCTCATCTGTTTCAATGTAATATATATCATTCCTCCCCTCCTTTCTCCCCTCAACTCTGATGTCAGTCCCATTTTACAACAGTAGCACCATGCAGTATTTGTCCTTTTGTGACTGAGATACTTCACTCAGCATAATGTCCTCCAGGGTCACCTATTTTACATAATATTTCATGAGTTCCTTGGTTTTCAATGTTGAATAGTATTCCATTGTGTGGATATACCAGAGCTTCTCTATTCATTCGTTTGTTGATGGGCACTTGGATTGTTTGTCCATCGGAGCCTCTCTGTGGAGCTCGTCCACTTCCTTGTCCATAATGCGTTCCCCTATGGTGGTCAGCAGCACTCTCATGCAGTCTGCCTGAATGGTGCCTGTTGCTTCTTCATCAAAGCAGACAAAACCATTTCTCATGCCGTCTTCTAGTTCTGTCCCATTAAGCTTCTCCCCAAACATCGTCAGGAACATGGTGATGTTGGTGGATCCTGGAGCCTCGTTCCTCATGGCTTCACCTCAGGTACGCATCTGTCTGGTTCTTCCCGAGAGAGGCCAGCCCATCATGCTAATCCTCCTTGTTGATAAAGCCATCTCTGTTCTGGTCAAGCATGTTGAAGGCCTCTTGGAACTCCTGCGTCTGGGACTGGTCAAACTTGGCAAACATGTTGGATGTTGCGTGCTGAGGGCACTTCTTGGTGGTCCTGGTCTTTGCCTTTTTTGCTTGACATGGTGGCTGTGCTGTGCCTGGTCCCGATTTTGTAAACCCTCTTTACCTTCTCATCTTTGCTTGTTGTTGTTGTTGTTGTTATGTGCCGTCGAGTCACTTGCGACTCATAGCCACCCTACGTACAACAGCCCCAAACCCTGCTCTATCCTGTGCCAATCGCACCGTCTCTGATACATCCATCCCGATTACCCAGTCACTGAATCAATC